GAACTCTATCGTAGTTTTGGGATGGGTTCGACACATTGCTGTGTGGCACCTCGCTACATCAGTGTCATATCTATAGCATATGCCAGCAACTTGAACAGCAAATACACTGCATCAAGTAATTGTCCTCGTCTGAAAATCAAAGGAAATCACTCCTTTGTCGGCTTAAGAGCGATTGTCATCATTCGTGGGGTCCCGCTGCAATTAGTTGAGGATTCATCTGATTCCTGTTTGGGTTAGGCCAATTTTTCTGCAGGGAAACAGGGAGGGATCTATTATGGTGGAAATGGTTGGAAGAGTAATTGTTGGTTATGGTTGAGCAGCAGAGGAAATACCATGTCTGCAGTGAGTGAGATGGAAGTGCAGAGGGCAGATTGAGTTAATAGTTTTGGAGGATGAGGTGAATGAAAGGAAATTAATATGAAATAATGCATGGAATAATTGGTCGAAGTCGTCAGACTTAGAGATGAGTATGTGGTGACAGATTTAGTCATTGGTGGCCTGAGCGTGCGAGGCATCAGAGAGAAGATTAGGGCACTTACTCTTACAGAGTGCAGGAGATTATTAACCTTCTCTTTACACTGCTGTGCATGGTGTTTCACCAGGGGATTACGATGCACTGGGCTGCCATCTTGGTCTAGGCTGGCTGAGTCTCGTGGTGCGGTCTCCTTTGCTGGACAGGGGGCAAAAGCACTGCCATTCTTTCTGCCATCCCATTCACCAGTCCTTCTAGATTCCTGGGGTGGGAGGAATCTGAGGAGCTAGTCAACACAGGCCATGGCACTGTCCGCCATGAATTTCACCTAGAAAAATTCTTTGCCCAAAAATGGGTAAATTCAGCCCCCTAGTATGCCAACATTTATAAACCTTATGCTTTCTGCCAGAATGGATACATTCACAGTTACCCACATTTTATTCTGTCTACCATGTTAAATGTACTTTTCCACCTTTCACCCTATCCAAATACTTTTGCAGCCTCCTTGCATTCCCTTCAAAATTCCCTTCACTTTGAATTGCTAACTTAGATTAAAGGATAATCAAAAGTTATGCAGTGACACATATTTGAGGGAATCTTTCAGAATAAACAATAGATAGGTTCCAGTGAGTTACAAAAAATTTGAAGGGACAGATGCACTATTCACGGTTAACTAGCAATGTTAAAGATAGTATCAAACTGTGAGAAAAACTGTATGATTCCATAAAGAAGGAAAAATTAGAGTAAAAAGGAAAGCTAGATAGAAATATTAAGACTGTTTTTTTAAATATGTATTTGAGGAAGAAAAGACAACAAAATGACTGTTGGCGCTGTAGAAAGTGAAACAGTAGAATTAATAATGGAAAATAAGGAAATGGCTGTCCTTCACAATAGAGGATGCAAGTAATATCCTGGAAGCACCATTAGAATGGGAAATGGAAGTAAGGGAGGAACTCAGGAAAATCATAATCACCAAAGGAGTGATATTTAGTAAATTGTGGAACTGCAGACTGATAAGTGTATGGCCTCTGATGGACTTCATTCCTAGGGTCTTAAAAGTAATGGCTTGTGAGTTAGTTAATTCATTGGCTTTAATTTTCCTAATCTCTGATCCCTGATTCAGTGATGGTCCCAACTGGTTGGAAAACAGCACATTCAGAAAGAGGGGGAATCAGTAAGAAGAGAACTACAGGCTAGTTAGTTTAACAACTGTCACAGAGAAAATATTAGCAGATACTATTAAATGGTGTGCCACGTGGATAGGTTCAAGATAATCAGATAGCATCAGCATGGTTTTCATAGAATCCCCACAATGCGGAAACAGGCCATTTGGCCTAACAAGTCCACACAGACCTTCTGAAGACCATCCCTACTAGACCCATCCCTTAACCCTATCCCTATATTTCCCATAGCTAACACACCTAACCGGCACATCCTTGAAGACTATGGACAATTTAGCACAGCCAATCCACCTATCTTGCAGATCTTTCAACTGTGGGAGGAAACCGGACCATCCGGCAAAAACCCATGCAGACACGAGGAGAACATGCAAACTCCACACAGACAGTCGCCTGAGGCTGGAATCAAACCGGGGCCCTGGCGCTGTGAGGCAGCAGTGCTCAGGGCAATCACATTTGGCCAAACTATTGGAGTTCTTTGAGATATTAATAAATACTGTAGGTATAGGGGACCAGTTAATGTACTGTAGTTAGATTTCCTTTGTGTTCCGTTTTGCGGGCTGAAAATAAAAGCTCATTTTTGGACTTGTCCGACTGCTTGTTTGCATGTGATGTCCCACTATTGGACAATAATGAGATACAAGTAGCCAGTGGGGACTGGGGACTCAGAGGATGCTTAGATGGGAAGTATCTAAGGGCCGGTAAAGTGTGTGTCATGTTTGAACAGCACTAGGGTGAGAGAATGGGTTTGCATGTGCAAGGGAGTGTCAGCTATGTGTGCCTGTGACTTCGTGGCTGCTGTGCCCTTCCCCTGCCAGTGAGGAGCAACATTGAACTGCCAACATCTGCCTGGGTGCACAGCGGCCTTTCACGTATGGTGTGGGCACAAGCTTGTCAGTCTTTCTATGGATATCTTGTGAATGGCAGGTTGGTTCAGGAAATACATGTATTAATATGGGGATAGAAATGGACATAAAGGTTGCCTTAGTGCTAGAGTAGGCAATTAATGAAATGTATTTGGCAAGACATGACAAGAATCCCTCCAGAAACGTGATGCAACTCGCAATGAACTTAAAGTTGTAAGATCAACCTTCGATGTAGGTTGTAAATAGCTGAGGCCAGAGTATTGATCTTTGCAGTAGCCCACCAGGTACAACCTGTCAAGTCAAAAATAACCCCTTTTAGATGTGGAAACCAGTACACAAATAACCATTCATCAGCTCAATTAGTTAAATTGCCCTAATTGCCTGAGCCCTAATTTTCCTTGGTGTCCTGTGTAGCACCTTATCCAATGTGTTTTTGAAAATTTCAAATACACTGTATCCACTGGTGTCCTCTTATAAGTTCAAACAGTTGCATGCTGGAAAATGTAACAGATTGGTCAGAAATGATTTCTTCATAATAAATCAGTGCAGATGCAACCTAATCTGTTTTTGCCCTAGTATCCCATCCCTATTAATAAATCCTGGCATATTTCATACTGCTAACTAGCCTATTGTTCAGTCCGTTCTTTATGTTTCCTTTGCTGAATAATGGGATTATATTTGCTGCTTTCCAATCCAAGAATTCTATTTAAGAGTCCAGTGAGTGAATAGAGTGAACTCTTGATTGTAAAGAAAGCATCCATTATCTGCAGTTTTAATAGAAGTTGTCCCATTGAGCAACTTTTCCCACAGTACTAATGTTAATGTCCTATGAATTGACATCATGATTTGAAACTCCTAACACCTATACTACTGTTTCACTACACATTTATTTTTCTAATCTATTTGTCCCTGTGCCATTTTGCATTTGGGTCAGGTAACAATCTGGAGGTTATTACCTGTGAGTTCCTGAAATCAGTATGCTGCTCCTTCGCACTAAAGGTAAAATTGCCAGAGACCCTGAGGACCATAGGGCTACTCTCTTATTCGAGAGAGACAGCTGGTGGTGAGTTTAAACTGAGGGTCACTACATCTTAGGCAAGGAGCAAGGCTGAGAAGGCAGGACCTTCTATGGTGACCTCAGCCAGTATAAAATTGAACCTTGCTGTTGGCATCGCTCTGCATCACAAACTAGCTGTCCCGCTGTCTAAGCTAACCAACTTCCTACCAACTGATTTGATTATCTTCCTGTTGTGTACACAATGCATAGTTTGCTTACCCACCTTGCCAACTTTGTCCCCGACCTCACAAACAGCAAGAACCCTTTTACCTGTACAATAAGCGCAACAGTCTTCATTATAGTACTCGCTCCCTTTATCTATCTAACTCGCAGTAATACCTGCTGTTCCTGGCAAACTATGTCACTTCATTAGCACAAGTAATGGTATTTGGTTTCAGGCTAATAGCATCCAGTTAACTTGCTGTTGCTGCCCGGCATCTGCATCTTAAGTGTCCAGGTACAGTTGCCATTCCATCTACCAAACCAACTGTATAAAGATTGACCAACATCAAATTGTACAGTTTAAGATTTTGCTTTGGATTGAATAGACCGGAGGTCCTTTTGTTTATGAAGACTTTGAATGTTATTATGGACATAAGCCCACCATCTGCAGTCTTATGATCTGTGAAGTTTGGGTAACTATGCATTGTTTACAAGCAAAAAATACGTTTTTGTAATGCTTTATTCCACTGAGGTTAAAAATATTTAAAAATTTGCACACAGCCTTTTGTTTCACAATAATTATTTTGCCTTAGATTGAAAGTCTGACTCAGGCACAGGAGCATATACAGGTTTGTTGGGACATTTGGAGAGCACTGAAATCCACAACAGGAGGTAAGTGACCAGGACAAGCCAGATCTGTCAGACAAAACAATGTCTTAGAGCATATCTTGCTATTAGAGGCTTTGACTGCTAAAAGTATTATTCATAGATGCATGTGGGAATTATTCATTCATGTACATTTCTAAGTACAACAACTCAATTTATTTCCTGAGATTGAGTAATGGTGAACAAAATGCAATTTGCAGGAATTTAGTCATTTAGGTACTGATTAACAATTGCGATCAACCTGAATTAAAAATTTAATTTTAGAATTCCCATGCTTGCTTTCAAAGTCCTGCCTCACCGTACCCCTCCCTTTCTCTGAAATATCTTTCAGTCCTGCAAAACTACATGATATTTATGCTCTTCTAATTCTAGCCTCCTGTACAATCCAAGTTTTAATTGCTGCACCATTTGTAGCCGTGCTTTTAGTTGCTATAGGCTGCATACTTTAGAGTATACAATTTTCCCAAGTGCAGTAATGAACCATGGGATAATTTCCCAACTTCATCACCTGGAAAGTAATCTGCTGGAGTGGTTCAGTCACCTCAGATAAAAACGAAATACAGTTGTACTGATTGGAACAAGGGCTAAATGGATCCATTGACTATGAGATCCTTGACTGGGGTTGTTAACCCAGGCCAATCAGCAAGCCCTGGTTGACAGATCTAAACAGAAGGATCAGAGAGTCTCCTCATCTCTGGACTCTCTGAGATGGCTGGTCAGAGCCCATGTATTGTGCACATGTAAATAAAGGGTGACTTGGTGATAGGATACTGGCATTTGTGCAGGTATTTCAACTGTAGATGCCAGAAGACAGAAAATGTTTGAGAAACCCAAATCCAGCAAGTATGGCAGCATCGATGGAGATAGAAACAGACTTAATGTTGATCAAAACCAGAGTAGACAGACCCATTTTCTCCTTTTTACACCAATCACTTACACCTACTTTATATCTCTACCTCTCCTTTAGTACAGTGAGCACCCCTTTTGTCATCTTCTCTGTGCCCCTTCGCCATCTTTCTACTTGCACCTTGTCCCCTTCTGACACCGGGATAATAACCATCATTTTCAAATTCTCTTCAGCTCTAAAGAAGTCATGTCATACTCGAAACACTAACTCCATTTTTCTCTCCACAGGTACTGCCAGATGAGTGGGTTTCTCAAGCTGTTTTTATTAGGAAACCTGTTCAGTTTAATTCCGCTGATTTGAATAGAATTTGCTGAGTTCTATGATGGACTGCGGATGCATTCCACCAGATTTCCGTTCACGTAGTGGACAGAAATTTACCCAAAAGTCATTCCTTGAACTTATTTCTCCAACAGCTTCAATCTAAATGAAAGAACCTAATATTGTAATTTCTGTAGTTTCTGCAAAGGTGTTCACTGTCTAAGGCTGTGGAAGATGTGTGATCATGATGGAAGTTCCTTGCATTACAGTGCTTTCAGTGCTGAATATTCCTTTTTATTGTAGTATTTCTTTAGTTTTCCATTGGTTGTTCTTATTAAAACTCCACTGTTTGGTGTTCAGTGCCAAGGTGGCAGTATTAAAATTAAATCTGATGATCTGTGTATTTTAAAATGTACCAATATTATTATCATTGAATTTTAACAATGTGTACCTAACTATGACCATTTAATGTGAATCTGCTGTGAATGTGTTTTTCTGCAGGTGATGTCTCAAACGACCCAACGGAAACCCTGTTACTTCTGTATGAGTTTGAGGCCAGGGCTAAGCTGAATGATCCCAAGATAGAGAATGTATTGGAGAAAGTGTTGCAACTTCAAAAGATAGAGCCCAAAACACTGGAAACCTTGGCATGTAAGCATGAAGCATTTCAACCCTGATGAACATTTTGGCTAAGTTTTATAAGATAGAGTAATAATTCTATGTAATGAAAGAACATTAATGTGCAGGGTTGTGGGTTTCAGTGCACAAGTAGGACTGACTGGATTTCTGTGAGGAGTACCGACACACATTTAGTGGGCTAAATGATTTCCTGTGGTGCTGTGACTCTCTAACAGCTTAATGTAGTTGAATATAATGTAGGCCTCATACGAGCCTCCAGCATTTAGTCTATTAAGTGGCTACCACTGTGGGAATTAGTCTTTATTAAGCTGATCTAATAGTTACTTGTCAGACAAGTAATGCAGATGTTTCTGTCATGTTTATCCAGAGAGTAATAGCCCTCTTCAGAATAATTCACTGTGTTATGAAGATTCTTCATATTTGACATTGTCTGGAGGACTTAAGTTTTGAAGGATTTGATAAAAGAAACTTATTTTGATTTTTGTGGACGTACATAGAGTCATACAGTGCAGAGGAAGCCCTAATATGCTACTACTTGTACTTGTCCCACTTTCTTGCTCAAGGCCCATTGCCCTGAATGTTATGACACTGTGCTCATCCAGAGTTTAAAAGGTTTAAATCTTTTAAAGGTTATGAGGTTCCTGACCTCGCCTACCCTACCAAGCAATGCATTCTCGACTCCCACCACTCTCTGAAGAAAACGTTTTTCTTCAAATTCCCTCTCAACCTTCTGCCTTTCACTTTAAAATTATGCCTCCTTGTTATTGACCCTTCAACTAAGGGGAACTGCTGCTTTCTGTTCACCCTGTCCATGCCCCTCATAATCATGTACATTTCTTTTAGATTCCACCCCCCTCCCCAACAACCTTCTCTGCTCTTCATAGTTGGAATGCTTCATGCAAAGACCTGGTAATCATATCCTTCTTATAGTGTGATGACCAACACTGTGCACACTATTCCAGCTGTAGTTGTTGTGTACCTTTCCAACATGAACTCCCTGCTCCTGTAATCTATGCCACGATTGATAAAGGCATGCATCCCAAAAGCCTTCTCAAGTATCCTTTTGACTGTTCTACAGCCTTAAGGAATCTGTGGACAGGTGACCTAAGATCCTTCCCGTGTTCCTCTGAGCGTCCTAGTGTCTTGCTTTTCATTGAGTACTCTCTTGTCTTGTTCCTTCTTCCAAAGTGCTTCACCTCACATTTATCAGGGTTAAATTCAGTCTGTCATTGATCTGCCCATCTAATCAACCCATTTATATTCTGTTATAACCTAACACCTTCCATCTTCTCACTGTCAACAACCTGGTCAATCTTTGTGTCATCTGCAAGCTTATCATCCCTCCCTCTTCTCATCTACATTATAAATATCTCAAACAATAACGGACACAGCCCTGTGTTACATTACTGTACACCAGGCTCCAGTCTTACAAACAGCCTAAAGCAGCATCTTTTGTCTCCTGTCACTAAACCAATTTTGGGTCCATCTTGCCAAGTTACCTTAGATCCCACGTGTTTTGCCTTCTTTATCAGCTTCCCATGTGGGACCCTGTTCAGAGGTCTTTCTGAAATACATTTAAACTATGTCAACTGACCTACCCTCATCCAAGTACTTGGTCACCAACTCAAAAATTTCTGCCAGATTCTACAATGTTAGACATGACCTCCCTCTGCCAAAGCCATGCTGATTATCCCTGATCAAATTTGCCTCTCTCGGAATGGAAGTTAATTTCCTCTTCCTTAACAATAAAGGATATTCTATTCTAGTTTCCCCACCACTGTTGTTAGACTCACTAGTCTATCATTCCCCAGTGTGTCCCTACCACCCTTCTTATAAATTGGAACCACATTAGTTGTCCTCCAGTCCTCTGGTACTTCACCTGTGCCCAGAAATGATTTTAAAAATTGGGTCAAGGTCCCTGTAATTTCCTCCCTCATCTCCCAAAGCAGCCTGGGATACAATCCTTCCTGGAATGGTTTCTTCAGAGGGGGTAATTGAAAATTCACTGTGAATACTTTTTTCTAACAAGGCTTCCTGTAAGTCACATGACAGGGATAATTGCACGCTTTGCTACAGACCCTGTGTGACTGACTGCAGAATGATGGTATTATCAAGCTGAACAGGAGAAAAATCTGCTAAGAATCAACTGAATTGGAGAGAACAGGTGCCCAGCTCATCTCTCTCATTTCTGAAATAGAAATTCTCCAAAACAGTCTAGAGTGAAACCTATTTATTAAATTGAAAGACTGTATGAAAAAATCTCAACATTTTATTTCCTGAGCAAACTGTGTCTTTAAGACATCTTCACCACGTGCTCGAACATTAGAGCAGCAGACTCCAGAATATCCGTTTGTTTATCCTTTTGCTTCAAAAATAACCCATTGGCCAAAGTGCTTGTTTTTTGTCTGAAAGCCAGTCTCTGCAGAGAAATCTTTATTTCTCTTTTCCTGAATAGAATTCATGTGTTAGCGCCTGAGTTTTGGAGATAATTAAAGGGATAAGCATTTATATTTCCATATTATTTGACATTGTTATCCAATTATCGTTCTTGAATACATTTTATTTTGATAATCAGCCCATAATTGCATTGATTAAGATATCTTGGATCTTTTCGTTTGAAATCTGATGTGGATATGGTATTTAGTTAGTCACTACAGTAACTTGAAGAAGTATTTTTATGTCTATGTTGCAACCCATAGACTATCCATGCCCTTCATGATTTTATAAACCTCTATAAGGTCACCCCTTAGCCTCCAATGCTCCAGGGAAAATAACCTCAGTCTGTTTAGCCTGTCCTTATAGCTCAAACCCTCCTGGCACATTCCTCACTAATCTTTTTTGAAACATTTCAAGTTTCACAACATCGTTCCTATGGCAGGGAGACCAGAACTGCACACAGTATTCCAGAAGTGGCCTAACCAATGTCCTGTACAGGTGCAACATAACCTCATACTCAATGCAGTGATCAATAAAGGCAAGCATACCAAATGCCTTCTTCACTATCGTATCTACCTGCGTTTCCACTTTCAATGAATGATGAACTTACACTCCAAGATTTCTTTGTTCAGCAAGATTCCCCAGGACCCTACCATTAAGTGTATAAGACTTGTCCTGATTTGCCTTTCCAAAATGCAGCAATTATCTAAATGAAACTCCATCTACCATTCCTCAGCCATTGGCCCATCTGATCGAGATCCTGTTGTACCGAAGTAGCCTTCTTCGCTGTCTATTACACCTCCAATTTTGGTGTCATCTGCAAACTTATTAACCATATCTCCTATGTTCCCGTCCAAATAATTTATATCAATGATGAAAAGCAGTGGATTCATCACTGATCCTTGTGGCACACAACTGATCACAGGCCTCCAGTCTGAAAAGCAACCCTCCATCACCACCCTCTGCCTTCGACCTTCGAGCCAGCTCTGTATCCAGGTAGCTAACTGTATTCCATGTATTTCTGGGACTGTAGGTTTTTAAGGTGCAAAGGTGGCCTTCAGTGGAATGATGTGCTCTTCCGGTTGGATGTGGGAGATTAAGGAGTATTTCCATGTTACTGATGATTATGTCTGCAGGAAGTGTGCTTTCTTGCAAATCCTATTGGATCGCATGGATTGGTCGAAGCGACAGTTACAGGCAATGACAAATTTACAGGAGGGGCTGGAGGAACACAGCAGGCCAGTCAGCATCAGACCCTTCTTTAGGTCCTGACCCAAAACATCAACTTTCCTGCTTCTCTGAAGCTGCCTGGCCTGCTGTGTTCCTCCAGCCCCACACTGTGTTATCTCTGACTCCAGCATCTGCATTTCTTACTATCTCAAGGAATTTACAGGAGCTAGGGGATGTGACGGATGGCAGTTGCAGGAAGGGAGATAAACCGAAGATACAGTCAGATAGATTGGTTACCTCAAGGAAAGGTAGGAGAGGGAGGCAGGTAGTATAGGAGTCTCCTATGGCTATCCCCATCTCAAACACGTATGCTGTTTTGGAAATGTAGTGGGTGACGGACTCTCAGGGGAATGTAGCACTGATAGCTAGGTTTCTGGTGCCCCCAAGACTGGTTCTAATGCAATGAGGAGTACTTCAGGTTCCAAGCAACTGATTGTGATAGGGGACTCTCTAGTCAGAGGCACAAACAGACGTTTCTGCGGCCGACGGTGAGACATGAGAATGTTGTGTTGCCTCCCTGGTACCAGGACTAAGGATATCTCAGAGAAGGTGCAGAATATTCTCAAAGGGGAGAGGGGCCAGTAGGAACGAACGACATAAGATGAAATTCTGAGGAAAGAATATCGTAGGTTAGGCAGGAATTTAAAAAGGATGTAAAAAGGAGATAACAAAGTGTAGAGCTGGATGAACACAGCAGGCCAAGCAGCATCAGAGGAGCAGGAAGGCTGACGTTTCGGGCCTAGACCCTTCTTCAGAAATGGGAGAGGGGAAGGGGGTTCTGAAATAAATAGGGAGAGAGGGGGAGGCGGATAGAAGATGGATAGAGGAGAAGATAGGTGGAGAGGAGACAGATAGGTCAAAGAGGTGGGGATGGAGCCAGTAGAGGTGAGTGTAGGTGGGGAGGTAGGGAGGAGATAGGTCAGTCCAGGGAGGACGGACAGGTCAAGGGGGTGGGATGAAGTTAGTAGGTAGGAGATGGGGGTGAGGCTTGGGGTGGGAGGAGGGGATAGGTGGGAGGAAGGAGAGGTTAGGGAGGCAGGGATGAGCTGGGCTGGATTTGGGATGCGGTAGGGGGAGGGGAGATTTTGAAGCTTCTGAAGCCCTGGCAACCACCTAGAAACCGATATCCATTTCAAGCCCACCAACTCCCACAGCTACCTAGAATACACCTCCTCCCACCCACCTTCCTGCAAAAATGCCATCCCCTATTCCCAATTCCTTCACCTCCGCCGCATCTGCTCCCAGGATGAGGCATTCCACTCCCGTACATCTCAGTTGTCCTCGTTTTTCAAGGACCGTAACTTCCCCTCCTCGGTGGTCGAGAACGCCCTCAACCGTGTCTCCCA